CATGGTCAATAAGGTTTGTTAGACACAACTGCAATGGTTTTACATGGGCAATAAGGTTTGTTAGACGCAACTGCAATGGTTTTACATGGTCAATTGGTTTGTTAGACACAACTGCAATGGTTTTACATGGGCAATAAGGTTTGTTAGACACAACTGCAATGATTTTACATGGTCAATGGGATTGAGAGACACAACTGCAGTGGTTTTACGTGAGCAATAAGGTTTGTTAGACACAACTGCAATGGTTTTACATGGGCAATAAGGTTTGTTAGACACAACAGCAATGGTTTTACATGGACAATAAGGTTTTGTTAGACACAACTGCAATGGTTTACATGGGCAATAAGGTTTGTTAGACACAACTGCAATGGTTTTACATGGACAATAAGGTTTGTTAGACACAGCTGCAATGGTTTTACATGGGCAATAAGGTTTGCTAGACACAACTGCAATGGTTTTACATGGTCAGTAAGTTTCATAGACGCAACTGCAATGGTTCTACATGGGTAATATGGTATGTTAGACAGAACTGCAAAAAATGGGGCATTATATATATTATGGGGATGTTAGCTGATATGTACATATGTGAATGAAATATCAACCTTTCCGAAGCGACATGTTTATACTTGTTTCGTTTGTTGTTTAACGACTGGGCAATTTTCATTCAATCTGCAAATAAATTAAGCCTGGATCAGACAATGCAGTGACTGATATCATGAGCATCGATCAGCTTTTATGGATATGATATGTTCTGGAGATGAAAGGCCGCTAATTTGGTGTATCATGTTACAGATCACCGTAGCCGATGTTGCGGTGTACGATGCCGTTACTGACAGAATCGAGGAAAGCCTACTATCCAAATACCCCAAAGTAAAGGCTAACAACAGCAAAGTGGCATCAAATGAAAGAATAAAGGCATATCTTGCGAAGAGGAAAAAGACGCCATTTTAGGAAATGTTGCAATGTCTGCACTCTAGACACCAGGCTGGATTTACACTGACTGTCGTACTTTCAGCAGTAACGTCATTGATAATATAAAAAGCATTTAAAACACGTCATGTACTTTCATAGAGAAACACTGCAATTAAATTCTTCATGCATAGCGATACAAAATATATTCTGTGCCTGCATCACAGATGTTGTGCATGAGGAATTTCGTTCATGGCGTCATATTTCGTTCATGACGTCATATTTTTCGTTCATGACGTCATACACGTACATTACTATCTGCATCTGCATCTGCATCTGCAGTCTACTACGGGTGTATCATTGCGATTCTGCGTGATATATATTACTGATATAACTCTCGCGGGTTCAGTTTTTACACAAAAAAATGTTTATACATTCTTGCAGTATAAGTATTTTCTTTTTGGCGCATTTGTTCTATTTTTTACATATGTGGAACTTGTAGTTTAGACATCGCTGTTCGTTACGCATGGAACCGACTTTACGGTTGTTGTGTGAATCTAGCCCAAAGCACGCTTATTCTATCGCTCAGCGCACCGCTTGGAGCAATGGGTGTATATATCGAGCATCGTTCTCCAATCATGTGTGCATCTTCATCATTAAATACATCTGTTTCTGTGCACATGCTGTCATCTAGGGTATATGATTTGTCACCTTCTATTTATTATCAATGATCGTGTTTGTGTTGTTGTAAATCAAATATATTTAATAAAGTCTGTTGTCTGATAGATATGCTTTTGGTTTTTGACAAACTGAAAATTAGAGAGTGAAACAAATTAAAGATCACTATGAAAGCGCAGACTTTTACAAGCTTTGCATTACACTGTGAGTAAATATATGAGTGAGTGAGTGAGTGAGTTTAGTTTTACGCCGCACACCTGACAATCCAGTGAACAACAGCATGAGCATCGATCTGCGCAATTGGGAACCTATGACATGTGTCAACCAAGTCAGCGAGCCTGACCACCCGATCCCGTTAGTCGCCTCTTACGACAAGCATGGGTTACTGAAGATCAATATTCTAACCCGGACCTTCACGGGTAGAATATATGAGAATACATAACGGGACACTGCGATGAAGTGGTGTTTCCTTATTTGTTTCTCTCAGTATATTTGCCAAGGGTCTCGGGTTCCTAAGAATCAGCTGGTCTTCATTCAAATCGACAGAACTATAGTAAACGCACTGTTAGGATGACTGCACGCGTTTGTTAGTGCGATACCGCAAAGATCAGGGCGAGTGAGTATGATTTAACCCCCTTGATGCCGAGGGGTTTTTTCAGGCGCACATTTTCATACGGTTTGAAAAGTGAACGTTGTGCGAGAATTGCGCTCGCGTGGTCCTGGATCTACGTACGTCTATAAAATTACACAGAAATGTAGAATATTAAATTTCCTATCCGTTGGTATAAATATAAGTGCAACTACCTTGGCGGTTTGAGAAATAGACACTGCTAAATGTTGTCCAAAGTTTGTTATGCGTTAAAAAACAGTAAATTTATCAGCTTTTTATTGCGCACCGATAAAAGCACTGTGCTACGAATTTTTTAATGTGGCATCTTTACGAAAAGTGTGAGCGAAGAAAATACAGCCTGATATCTGAACGACATAAGTGTATATGAATTGGGTTTATGTGCTTGTGCATAACGTTATACGCTCAACATTAAAAATGGCTCGCAATAAATGTCAAAAATGGATTTTCTTCTATGACGTCAAACGACGACAGAGAGGTCATACACGCGTATAATGATAAGGGGCATAACTCCGTTATGCGTAACACTAGGTCAATGTAACTCTGATCACTTGGAGAGAATTTGTTGTGGATACGGACGCTATATTTTCGTTATTATATGTTCATGGTGAACCAAACTATCCCAATTCAAAGTTCCCCAATGTGAGCAGATGCAGTTTGGTAGTTTCACAATTTACAAGAAAAATGACAACGTATTACATGTGAAAGCACGTAATAGCGATTTGGATGGCCCTATCCGATATATAAGTTAGTTCTTAGATTCCCATATTCTCCTGTTTGTGTAGATGTAATTTGACTAATTTTGCATCGTTACCAGAATACTAGCCATTGCTGAAAATAATACAACATTTTAGTTGACGTCATTGCTTGTTTTAAGCATTTTGCGACGTCGGAAAAAGACGACAATGGAATGCTGATTAGTATATATCTCCCCTAATTTCCATTAATTGTATAAAAGGTCTCGGCTTCTACGTCGAAATTTAACACTCTTTAGACAAACATAAAATGACTGATTTTTCCATTTAAAAAAACCCCACTCGAATATTTTGTTTGGGATAAGAATTTTGTTTGTTTATGATTATGTAGCTATTTCTCTGCATACGTATGCAATGAAAGATGCAAAAAGATAGCTTTTTATATATGGAACTATATATTAGAATATGGATGTAAGATTTGTCCGAATTAACACATGAGATGGTATATATATTTTTCAACAATTTTTTTATAAATGTAGTTAGAGTTTGATATCCTGTCATCACAATATTATTTAATCGAATATGAATTGATTATATTATCGAAAACAATGATAGAGAATCATAAAAAGTTTCCAACAAACGCGCACCTGGCCGATCAATATGCATCATTCTTTTGTCTATAAAACGACACAAAATGCATTGTGTTTACTCTTGTTCAACGGACCTTTACCTCAAAGAAATTGTCTAATATGTAGAACAATGTTGACGTATGACATCACTACCGCTGACCGATTTCTTACAAAATGGCGGCTTTGCTGACAAGGGTACACAGGATTTTGCGAGGACCCTTCCATTGATTCAGGGATCGTTTGTACATAAATATGAGATGTAAGTAATCAGAATGATTCTGACTATATGTGTATTGTTATATGTTTTATCATTTTTAATGTAAGTAAGAGAAGAAGCCAAAAATGCTGATGATTACAGTTGTCGTTCTGCGTGATTTTGCGTCAGTCATGGCGTGACGCTGCACGGAAACTCTGACAATTCTTATGAATTATCAAACCATTGCATTGTATCTATTTATAATTTCCTTTTTGTTGCTACGATACGCTTTCCATGCATATTCCAAAGATATTGAGCCATTGCAAGCAATGAATAGACGGATGAATGTTGGAAAATTTCAGAAAATGCTACACAGTGTAAAATAGGTTTTTGTCTTTGTTTACATTTCGAACCAGCGCAGTCTTTCGAGCACAGCGTTCGTTTTCACACCCAATATGTTTCGTCTCATTTTATCTAGACAGTTGGCATTGGTGACAAAGACCAGTTGCAGTTTGATTCTAAAATGTATGGGGAATTCATTGATGTATTTTTCGAAGCTGAATATGAAATATAGATCTACGTGATGTCTCAATACCGGCCTTCGCGAAACGTGATTTTGTAAACACTATCCAATATGGCGGAAAGCGCTCTACGGCGTTCGTGTAAGTGCATTTTCGAAAACATCCCAACCGATTCTACATTCATCGGCTAGGTTTCAGAATTATAATTAGCGATTTCATGTAAAACTGATATGAGTGATCATGAATATGTTATTTTTTAAATTCAATACTCCCAGTAATTATCCGATTTTCACATTTCAAAACATACAGCAAATAACGCTGTGAATCGCGATTTCGTACTGTGTCAAAAATGGCGACATTTTCGATGAAGCCTTTATTGAAAGGTCATTTTCAGCACTTGAACTTTGTCTAAAATAATAGTGGATGGTATCAAGAAACAGGAAATTTCCAGCAGAATTCGAAAATGTGAGGTGTATTTGCGTGCGTGGGATATTTTGATTTTTATTGGACTAGAAATTGAGGGTTGGAGGGGAAGGACATATATGTTCCTGTGGCATCCAGGCGCTTTGAGCATACACAAGCGCGTGGAAACAGTCGCTTTAGCCCTTAGTAGTATATCATTATAAAATGTCTAAATGCGATAAACGTCCCAGAGAGAAGACAATCTCACACAGCCTCAGCAACAGCAAGCTATCTATTTATAACTGTTCATTCAAAATGATGGAATCACGTGACCTGCGCTCGTCCACGTGATGCTCTTCCCGCTCTTCGCGTCCATGAACTGAGTGCAAGCTTCACAGCAAGTCTGAGCATTCTCTTGTAGTGAGAACGACCCTCGTGTGTAAACAAAACGATGCCTACGTACAAATTCAGGTACTTCAACTCACGAGGACTGGGCGAGGTATCACGTCTTTTGTTTGCAATCGCTGGACAAGAATACGAGGATGCGAGATGTACTCCCGAGACATGGCCAGCAGAAAAACCTAGTAGGTCGCTCGTGTCGCGAAATACCACGTAGTTCTGAGGTTTGGGATATCATTTCTCTTTGTTGTTTGGGGCTGCTGCTTGCAGAGACTATTATTTGGCTTATAATCTGTTGCATTATTTGTTAGCAATTTAATTTGTTTATGTTATGTTTTATCGATACCAGTTAAATTGCTGTTTATTTATAGTGAAGAAAATATAGAACGTCTTAGACTGAATGAGTGAGTGAGTTTAGTTTTACGCCGCACTCAGCTATATGGAGGCGGTCTGTAAATAATCTCTTAGACTGAAGGCTGCAATATGCATTAAATGTGGTTAAATTGGAGTAACGTTCAATGTTATTGGATAACCATTTGAGTACTCTGATATTTGAGTTGGGGTGTCTGTTATTCACCGTAGCATTTTGGTTAATCTTTTATTGCAATTAATATTAAGTATGTCTTTGCTGAATTTTTGCACACCTTGGGGGATGTAAACATGTTTTTAAGATAATATTTGGGAAAAGTTTAGAGCTCGTCTACAAACGCACGTGACAAAACTTCAAGTACCTCATAGAACAGCACTGCATAACAATGCAAGTGAAGGGAAGTTAAAGAGCATCGGATTATTTCTTTATACTACAGTTAACAGTGGTTAATCTGAGTGAGTGAGTGTGTGTGTAAATTTAGTTTTACGTCGCTTTTGCACTATTCGGGTACTTTACACTTGTAGGGGCGGGGGTAGCCTAGTGGTTAAAGCGTTCGCTCGTCACGCCGAAGGCCCGGGTTCGATTCCCCACATGGGTACAATATGTGAAGCCCATTTCAACTGTCTCCGGCCATGATATTTGCTGGAATATTGCTAAAATCGGCGTAAAACCCAACTCTCTCACTCACTCATTTATACATTGTACCCATCTGTGGAATCGAAACTCCTTCGGCGTGACGAGCGAACGCTTTAACCACTTGGCTATCCAACCGCCTCGACATGAGATTAAATAGTAATATGAAAGAATCGGGAATCTTTAACTTACTTTGAGGTTTACACAAAGTGCTCTCTAAGACTGCGTTCCTGTGGTTCTTATACTACTACATGGAATCACGGCAGGCATAAAATTTACCGAAGTCAGTAATTCACGATTGCGCACTTTTTCCTTTGACTTACATGAATGTTCTTCAAAAATACTCAAACTTTGGTATAATACAATAAATTGTCATACGTATCGTAATACGTTATTGTGTATAAAATATATTGTGAAACTCTTTGAACTATCCAATAACCATCCCAACTATTAAGCACGTCTGTGCATTTATATCAGAAATATCCAGTAGACAGAACTAAGCGAGTGAAAAGGATAGGAACTATTCGAAGACGTACAACCAATGAGCGTGCGTATTTAATATTTATTGTCTCAAAGGGGCGGTGGGGTAGCCTAATGGTTAAAGCGTTGGCTCGTCACGCCGAAGACCCGGGTTCGAATCCCCACATGGGCACAATGTGTGAAGCCCATTTCTGGTGTCCCCCGCCGTGATGTTGCTGGAATATTGCTAAAAGCGGCGTAAAAACCAAACTCAGTCTGTCAGTTATTGTCTCAAAACTTTATTAACATTTACTGTTGTTTAATGAAGCCCCTTGTATTCATAGATACCCCGCTGGGACAGGTACCAGTTCTGGAAATTGACGGGAAGCCTTACTCCCAGAGCACCGCTATTGCAAGATACCTTGCCAGGACATTTGGTAAGACTGGAAATAATGCGTTTATCATCACTATCACATTTGTAGCTTTTAAATGCCACTCAGAGATCTGGTGAGTGAGTGAGTTGAGTTTTACGCCGCACTCAGCAATATTCCAGCTATATGGCGGCGGTCTGTAAATAATCGAGTCAGGACCAGACAATCCAGGGATCAACCTCCGAGATCTGGGTTTGTGAACCTATGGGAAAGTGTACCTTTGGTTTAGATTTTATCATTGAATAAAATACTAATTTAAACAATTGCATGTAGGGCTGCGCAATATAACCGGTTTAGACATGAAAACGATACGTATTGCGATACGCTGATCGAAAACCGGTATACTTCGCATTCGGAAAACTTCGTAACGCTCGGAAATCTTCGGATATTTCCTTGTTTCATTTGTGCCAAATATCATTTACATTTTTATTTTGTCATGATTAAAAGTTTTTAATAAAACTTAATCAAGCATTGTGATTTTGTTGTGTTCATGCTTTATAAATAAAGAATTAACTCGATTATAAGTAGTTAAAATACTTCTTACAATATATTGCAATACATATCGCAATACATGCTTTCGAATCGCAATATATCGCAATATGAAAATTCTCTGCAATACCCACCCCTATTTGACATGTGTATGCCCTGGTGAATTATATTCGTCAAGCCGTAATGCGGTTGTTGTGCAAGAGGTTGAGCAGTATTTAGATGAACAGATTTCATAGAAATACGTCAGATATGTATTTTCCTTGAAATGATCTTTCCATACGTATTAATGACAAACATGACATCTCAGTTTGCGTTAGAATTTATCTTCAGCAACCCATGCCTGTCGTAAGAGGTGACTAACGGGATCGGGCGGTCAGGCTCGCTGATTTGGTTGACACATGTCATCATATCGCAATTGTGAAGATTGATGCTCATGATGTTGATCACTGGTTTGTCTGTCATACTTTCCCTGGTAACATCTGAGGCGTGCTCAGAACCGCGAGCGCCCGCGCTATTGCCTCCCGTGAGCGCTCGCATCGGCCCTGAACGGACGCGAGCGCTTGGTTACATTAAACCATTGGTGACCAACTCGTGTTATTCCGGGACAAGCCGAATAGCGTCTTGTCTTGTTGGAGGTTACGGAAAAGGGCAAGTGGTGACGAATGACATAAAACATGGTCGCCATCTTGGTTCGCTTGGCGAGGCAGCTGTGAGGATGGTTCGCGGGCGCTCGAACGGGCACAGGCGTTCAGGATCGAGCGCTCGCTAGCGTTTGCGGGCACTCGCGGTTCTGAGCACGCCTTGGGTCTCCCCCAAGTATGACTACGTGCGCGACACATTGTCATCGATTCTGTAAATGTATTTTCTTCGTGCAGTTCGTGTTATTGTCACTTCATTGTTGATGCATTTTATTAAGGTTTAGTATTTTTCTTCCTCGAGGTCAACAGTTGACTTGTTCCTTCCTGTTCATGTCAACTTGACCTCAATTTTACAGCAACTTTACATCCGTATTCCAGGATTTGCAGTTGATTAATACATCAAATTAACCGTCTGAAGACTGAAACTGAAACATGTACACTGCATTTGGATATTGATTTTGGAATTAGAGGCACACGTGATTGTTTCGAGACTAGTTAATGCAAATATTTGAACTTCAATAGCAAGGGTTAAAAATCTCGCCCATTTGTCGCGTGAATTTTGCACGAAACATATCACAATCGATAGCGATGACAGGGTTAATATGCACTGCGTTTTTCTGAGTACTTCATACTAACTGCATTGCAACTGTGATAATATAATACTAACGGGAATAAGTAACTGTGCATAACATAAAATTGCTTAAAATAGAAGGTATTTAAAAAAATATAAAAATAACCCTCAATAAACATGTAGCAAAGCACTTTGCATGACATCTGATGTCACTTTGTACACAATATTTTGTATGGTTTTCTTTAAAACCTGAAGTTCACACACCTGATATTGAAAATTGAGGAACGGTTGATTATCCCCTAGCCTCTGAACTTTGTGGAAAACACGTTAATTTTAACCTACACTGGAAATCGGCGTCTCTGCGCCGTGGGTATGCTGGTAACTGGAATGGCCCAAAATGAAGTGGGAATGGCCCAAAATGAAGTGGCCAGATATTTTAGTGTCCATCGAAACACGATCTCGTCTCTATGGAGACGTTTTCAACATAATGGGAACACGAGAGATCTGCCACAGACCGGCCGCCCACGCGTGACGTCACGTCACGTCAACCACATTCGGCTGACATTGTGATGTTTCAGGGTCCAGTAATCCAGACTTGCCACGTGTTTTAGGGTCCAGTAATCCAGACTTGCCACATGTTTCGGGGTCCAGTAATCCAGACTTGCCACATGTTTCAGGGTCCAGTAATCCATACTTGCCACATGTTTCGGGGTCAAGTAATCCAGACTTGCCACATGTTTTAGGGTCCAGTAATCCAGATTTGCCACATGTTTCGGGGTCCAGTATCCAGACTTGCCACATGTTTCAGGGTCCAGTAATCCAGACTTGCCACATGTTTCAGGGTCCAGTCCAGACTTGCCAATCCGGACTTGCTTGCCACATGTTTCAGGGTCCAGTAATCCGGACTTGCCACATGTTTCAGGGGTCAGTAATCCGGAATTGCCACATGTTTCAGGGTCCAGTATTCCAGACTTGCCACATGTTTCAGGGTCCAGTAATCCACACTTGCCACATGTTTCAGGGTCCGGTAATCCACACTTGCCACATGTTTCAGGGTACTATGGGAAGGATGACCTGCAAGCCCTGGAGGTGGACCAGGTACTGGGGATCGTGCAGGACGTCATCACCACCATGATCAAGAGTTACTATGAGAAGGATGAAGCCAGGAAAGTAAGAGACCGTCTGGTTCATGGACATACTGGGGGCGGTGGGGTAGCTCAGCGGTTAAAGCATTCACTCGTCATGCCGAAGACCCGGGTTTGATTCCCCCGTATGGGTATAATGTATGAAGCCAATTTCTGGTTTCCTCAGCCATGATATTGCTGGAATATTGCATAAAGCGGAAACAAAGTACTCACTCCTACACCAAGCTGACATATAGCAGGTATACTGTTTAAAGATGCTCTAACCCCAGCTATCCAACAGAGGTTACGAGTTCGATTCCACCATTATGATCCTTGGTTTGGTTGAACCCAACGAGTGCTAACTGACTTCATCATTTAACATGTGCATCGACTCTTCTGTCAAGGGACAGTGTATGTTCTATTTCAAGCCAGGGGCGTTGGGGTAGCCTAGTGGTTAAAGTGTTTGCTCGTTTGCCACGGATCGACTCCCCACATGGGTACAATGTGTGAAGCCCATATGTAATGTCCCCGCCGTGATATTGCTGGAATTTTTGCTAAAAGCGGCGAAAACCTAAACTCACTCACTCACTCACTGTTGCAGGCGCAGTTCACCAAAGAAAACAAGGAAGAGAAATTCCCTATGTACATGGGGATGTTTGAGAAACTTCTGAAGAATAACAATGCGAACGGCTTCTTCGTTGGAGAATCGGTAAGATAGCGTTTACTCATCAATAACAATGATAATGACAAACATAATTCTTATCTAGGGCTGCAGCCCTTTTCTGGTGTCCCCCCCCAGTGATATTGCTGGAATATTGCTAAAGGCGGCGTAAAACTAAACTCACTCACTCACTTATCTAGGGCTCAGCTCTTTAGCATTCAACAACATTCACTCACCTCGATGTGTTCTTGGCCTCAGGGGGGCGGTGGGGTAGCCTAGTGGTTAAAGCGTTGGCTCCTCACGCCGAAGACCCGGGTTCGAATCCCCACAAGGGTACAATGTGTGAAGCCCATTTCTGGTGTCCCCGTGATGTTGCTGGAATATTGCTAAAAGCGGCGTAAAACCAAACTCAGTCAGTCAGTCAGTCTTGGCCTCAGTGGGGCGGTGGGGTAGCCAAGTGGATAAGGCGCTGGTCGCGCCGAACACCCGGTTCGATTCCAGACATGGGTACAATGTGGTGAAGCCCATTAATTTGTGCCCCGTCATGATATTGCTAGAATATTGCTAAATGCGGCGTTAAACCCAATTCAGTCACTCATGCATAACCCATAGGGGCCTAAAAATTCACTCACTCCTATATTCACATTCCTATATTCTGATGCGCCCGATACTCAATTGTATAATCTCGGTATCGATGTGTTCAAATTTGCATTTTCAGATCACTGTAGCCGACATATACGTGTTTGACCTCTATGAGAAAATCAAGTCAGAGGTGACCCTCGATGATTACCCCCTGGTCAAGAAGTGCATTGACCAGGTCGGCAGCAACGAGAAAATCAAGGCATGGGTCGAGAAACGCCCAGTTACGGAAAACTAAGTCATTTCTTCACCGTCTCACGTCAACGACTTCTTTACGACAACTACAGCTTTAGTTAAGGATAAACATTATGAAGTAATTCGCTGGTCCATTATCCTGCTAAAACCTGAGTCACAAACTTTATTTGTTGTAATTCTGTTTGTTTTATGTTGTTGTCTCTCACTCTATTTCCGCATTTATTTACCGTGTCGAAGACAGTTGAATATTAAACTTGTTCCCGCTTGTTTCCGCCTGTATGTTTGATATATTAAGGTTAAATGTAGGAGAGAAGACAGGGGTCTAGGACAATTGCCACTCGGACAATTGCCACTTTCATCTTAAGTTTTCTTAATGCTTTCAATACATTCTCTCAATGATGTTAGTAACTTACGTCTTAACAAGCTTTCAAGTTTGATTTTTTTCCAAATCGATGCATACTGAGTTTTCATGACAGCCAAGATTTCATCAAAGTCAAGACTACTTCAAGGTTAAAATATGATCAAAGTCAGAATTTTAATATACCCCAAAACATTGACTTTTCATCATCTAAAGTTGTGTTTTTTGACAACCTGCATTCATTTTCTAAAATAAAATTACATAAAATTCTGGGTGGCAATTGTCCTGCTCCCGAGAGACTGATTGGACAGTCTAGTCCACAGATACGATTTTCCTTTACAAGAGGGGCGGTGGGGTCTGGGATGGTTAAAGCGTCCGCTCGTCACGGGTTCGATTCCCCACATGGGTACAATATGTGAAGCCAATTTTTGGTGTCGCCCGACGTGATATTGCTGGAATATTTCTAAAAGGGGCGTAAAATCCATACCCAATCACATCAAGAGGAATTTGTTTCTGAGGATAGCCAACCATGTCAGCCAAGCTGACCACCCGATCCCGTTAGTCGCCTCTCAAGACACGCACGGGTTGCTAAAGACCAGTTCTAATCCGGATCTTCACGGGTTGCTAAAGACCAGTTCTAACCCGGATCTTCACGGGTTGCTGAAGACCAGTTCTATCCCGGATCTTCACGGGTTGCTGAAGACCAGTTCTAATCCGGATCTTCACGGGTTGCTGAAGACCAGTTCTAATCCGGATCTTCACGGGTTGCTGAAGACCAGTTCTAATCTTCACGGGTTGCTGAAGACCAGTTCTAATCCGGATCTTCACGGGTTGCTGAAGACCAGTTCTAACCCGGATCTTCACGGGTTGCTGAAGACCAGTTCTAATCCAGATCTTCACGGTTCATATGTGAAGTAAGTATGCTACGTTAAATGGAATACACAACGATACACCGGGTCCATTACTCAAAGTACACTACAACGATAATGTTAAAGGTCGCGCCCTTTCCGTATTACTATGGACCGCCTCCGTGGTGTAGTGGTTAGAGCGTCCGCCCGGCCGAGAGCGGAAGGTCGCGGGTTCGATCCCCGGCCGAGTCATACCAAAAGACGTTAAAATATGGTGCCTGCCTGGCGCTCGGCATTAATGGGTACCACAAGGACTGGTCGGCTCGAAGTCAGCATATACAGTAATGTGTCTAACTGCGGCATGGTATCTCATTGAGCCAAGACTATAAAACCAGCTTAAGTCTGGGCTAGTACAAGCAGCCACACATACACACGCATGCACGTCGTCATGTGAGCGAGATATTCGTACGTGCGACGTTAAACCCCATTTCACCTCGCCTCATCGTATCACTATGCTTCACAAATGTAGTGTATAGTTTTGCGAAATAATCGGTTGATCTATAACGTTTTTAGTAGCATATAAAATATCTAAGTTTGCCAGGGATCACATACTCATTTCTCAATCATTACTGGTGTCAATTACCGTCTCGTTGTTGCAGTAACAGATATATGTGGGCTAATGTTTCTCACTAACACTTTGTAATGAGAGGTACGTGTTGTTGAAGTATAAAACGCAAAGTCACGATGATTGTCTCTTCATTCGTGGAAATTTCCATTCACCCCACAGACTCTGACCTTTCAAACATTTCAGCTATGTGTGGATTAGGCGAGCTTGGGCTTCATTCACAACACATTCTTGTCTGAATGTTTTACTACTGTGATTGTAGTGGTCGACAGACCGAGTCTCCTCTTGATATCCCTGGGGGTAGAAGAAGTGGGTCACGGGTGCACACGCCGTCCAAAGCCTCGTGCTTTATCGTGAAAACGTTCAAAGCAAAGCAGATTTATCATATAGCTTCTCGTGCATACAGGCAATCAAAAACCGTAAAATTGACCATCCGTTTATATCGGATTTTTTCTGAACTTTTCAATACTGTTTTAAACAGTTTAAGTTAGCATATCTGAATGAAATTAAATTGTATGATAAGATGTAGATTTTAAACTTTGAATATCAGTTTTTACTGTTTGCTATGAAAATGGACTGACTGAAGTTGTAGTGATCTCCGTCATCTTATATTATATATTCGTTTCTAAAGGAAATATTTGATTGTCTAGCCGCGAATAGCTGCAATATACTTCTGATGCGTCTTAAAGCAGCATTTACTCACTCACTATTGTGAAAAGTTGCGTGACTTAGATGTGCCCTGGTCCAATGATAGTATTTTTTGTAATAACAGATCACAAACGAATTTTGATTATAAGTTGGTAAGCGCCTTAACCGTGTTCTCGCGTATTTTCGTAGTCAGATTTTAAAGACATCAAGGCATCGTATCCGATTGCGTATCTCGCTTACTGCCATCCAGTAGTCGATTACATGTAATAAATATTTTTAGGAGGTGTCTGTGAGCCATGGATAGGTCAGTCGTCTACAGCTCGCTATGCATACCTCGATATTGCTGAAAGCGGCGTAAAACTAAACTCACTCGACCCTTAATTTGTCACCTCACCTTACTTCACCCCACCCCATCGGAATGTTTGTACAAATATTCCCGTTACCATCTTTGATAATTCAGTGGATAAAGTTCTACAAAGTGCATCAGTCATAAATAACCCATCCATTCTAAACCAGAAAATTCGAAATTTGCATTTAAAAAGCATTTAACAACCCCTTCATATAAAACTGTTTTCATATTTCTCTGGACTAATCCGTTGTGTTAATCAACTGTCAAAAGAGAATGGTAGTGCAGCAGACGGCGTTATTTGTACAGAAATGAAACCAGGTCTCTACTGTAGATTACATCAGCCGCTGAAGGTTACACGTATTTGCCAGCGTTACGTTATCTCCTGAACATTCCGCTTCATTCATTCATGAATATACTGTTTAGGCACGCAGGACTAAACACTTAAATCCTTCTTGCTGTTAAATAGAAACAGTAACTGAAAACGCTACTTCGGGATGTTGAATTTTTGGCAGAGGCCATCACTGGTTTTGGTTAACGCTTTTAACTCCCGGGTGGTTCGGTCGCCTGGTGTTTAAAGCCTTCGCTCGTCACGCCGAAGACCCGGGTTCGATTCTCTACATTGGAGGCAAAGTGTGAAGCCCATATCTGGTGTTCCCGCTGTGATATTGCTGAAAGGGGTGTAAATCCATACTCACTGAACCAACACACGCTAACGTACAGACCGATTATGCTACAGAACTCACATGCAATCACTGAGCTTAAAACCGCGATTATCCAGCTATAGCTGTATATGTGGTGTATATAATAATAATATGCAGCTTTAGCTGGATAATCGAGTTTTAGCATATTATACTGACTGACTGAATTTAGTTTTACGTCGCAATATTCTAGCAACATCACGGCGGGGGACACCAGAAATGGGCTTCGCACATTGTACCCATGTGGGGATTCGAACCCGGGTCTTCGGCGTGACGAGCCAACGCTTTAACCACTAGGCTACCCACCGCCGCTAGCATATTATAAGGGACGGTTCATAATTTATGGCTAGGGATGTGTGATGATGATTTTTATGGAGAAGCATGATGATGTAAAATGTGAATGATCCCCACTAAAAGTTATGTGCAAAGTGAGTGACACCCCCACCCCCTGCACGTCATGTACAAAATCAATTATCCCCCTCCCCCCACAATTTCATAATCTTTTAATATTATTTTTTTTAAATCCCCAGAACAAGATGGGTAACTACCCCCGCCCCATTAAAATCATCATTACCGCCATCCCCCCACCCCGCCATAAATTATGAACGGTCCTTTAGTCCAAATATACAGCGTATAACACGCCAATGGTGTATTATGACGATTAATTAGGCAAATTGTATAAACAATACAACAGTCTAGATAAACTTAGGCTCAGTATATTATTCGTTACACTGCTAGTAGCATTACACTACGAGAAGGATGATTTTATTTACTTTCATCAGCTTTCATTCACATCAGTTGGGTGTGGATGCCGAGAAGATGTGTGACTGACTGACTCATCCTATACTTACCTAGCGTTCTCTATCTACAAGTGACATCGAGGCTTTTGTCACCTTGTTCTGCTGTGTCAACGAGCTGTTAACTATACTGGGTTCAGTATATGTGTCACATGCGTTAACTGGGCCTTCAATTACTGTACAAATAGCGTCACACAGCGTACAGTGCTTGCGTTGTGTGCTTGCAATATGGCCACGGTTTCTGTTGTAGAAAAGTGCTGATTCATTTATGTCTTGATCTGTTTATCTAAAGAATCACCGACGCGTTAAAATCAATTGGTGCGGAGTTGTGTAGTATTGGGTTTGTAAAGTCGATTCATCGTTACAATGCAAGTCTGTTCATAAAGTGCACTACTATTCACCATGGAACATACATACAAAGACGTATTGAGGCTGCCGACCTACTTTGGGTTCGTGGGTCTCTGGGAGTATTTAGAAGGTATTCGAGGTGTATTTAGAAGGTATTCGAGGTGTATTTAGAAGGTATTCGGGGAGTATTTAGAAGGTATTCGAGGTGTATTTAGAAGGTATTCGAGGAGTATTTAGAAGGTATTCGAGGTGTATTTAGAAGGTATTCGGGGAGTATTTAGAAGGTATTCGAGGTGTATTTAGAAGGTATTCGAGGTGTATTTAGAAGGTATTCGAGGTGTATTTAGAAGGTATTCGAGGTGTATTTAGAAGGTATTCGAGGTGTATTTAGAAGGTATTCGGGGAGTATTTAGAAGGTATTCAAGGTGTATTTTGAAGGGTTTTCTGGCTCATCAGTGTGGCACGGGGGATACAAGAATAACTGTATTTGTTAACCAAATGAGAAAATATTTTATATTAACTGACGCACAAAAGAAAGTACACATCTTTTGAGAACCAACAGCTAATATATTTGGAAAAGAGTTTGATTGTGACTTACCAAAACACCAGAGATATCCTTTACAGTTTTGTACGTGGGATATCCTTAAAAATACTGATTTTGTTGAATCGCAAGTGCACGATATGATCCAACAGTATACAACATAGTTGATTGAAATTGTTAGTGGTACACCTGTTACAAGTATAATTTCAAAATTTCAAGATCATCAGCGAGGACGAGCCAGTGGAATGTCGCAGATGGAGGCTTCAAACAGGCATATTGCCAGAACGTTCGGTTGTACAAGGCAGTCCATCTTCAGACTAATGAGACAAACCAACAAGTCTGGCCAGACATCTGACCTTCCCAGAACTGCAAGACCGAGGGTGACCAACCTGAAAGATCACTATCACCATTCTCCATCTATCAACTTGTCAGGTCGCCCAGCTTCATCCCACACAACCCAGTGATCAACATCATGAGCATCGACCTACGCAATTGGGATACGATGACATGTGTCAACCAAGTCAGCAAGTCTGACCACCGGATCCAGTTAGTCGCCTCCTAATACACCAAGCATGGGTTACTGAAGACAAATTCTAACCCAAATCTTCACTCATAGAGACAAATATGTAATTTACTACAAAGTGCCAATAGGCACTATATATTAAACCAACATTTACAACCATTCAATATCTTAAAAACGCCAAAAGGAAGAAAATAATTAAACAACAGATCTTGATAAGAAACTGAATACATTGTATAGGTTAACAGATGGCCCCTTCAAAAAGGCATTAAGGTCAATTGTTGTTGCTACACGCCATCGCATTTACATGTACACTTATGCTTGGATGGTGGAGTGTCATCCTGGGTCAGTAAGTGGGACACTACAGCCAACATGCGGGTAGACATGTCGCAATCCGCACAAAGGTCAAGGACACAAGTGAGTGCAGTAAATTTCCCCGGTCTCAATAGGTTTTTGACGAGCAGGCTCAGTCGGCCTTGGGAGTCACTAATGTCAAATATAATGCGAGCATATTTTCCCAATTATTCAGCCAACAAAAGATCATTAATTGCATTAAGTATTTATAACTGATATTGCGGTAGGATATCGTATATGACAAAAGTTTAAATCAAATATTTAGTCGCTTCTGGTTCTATTGATACGCATGCTTTCAATGCTGGGTTCTAATTTGGGAATATTATATTCATAGTAGGAGCAATGCTTTGGTGGAAGCTTTTAATAAGGAATTCCAGTCTACTCATTACTGTCAGGGCTGACATGAAGTGTCCATGTTAGAGGTCTGTAGAAAAGAATAAAACATTTGGCCATGTAGACTAAGTGTATTCACTACATCTATATTTCATAACAAAATTATGTTCCTCTGGCACAGTTTTCTCAAAAATGGGCGGGCGGGGGAACGTTTTAAAAGTTTTACTGGAAGAACAAAAGTTAACGAGATTTTCCTAAACCAATGATCAGTACACCCCACGCAAGTCTATCATATTTGGCAAGTCTAGATTACTGTAGTTGGGCGAAATTGAGAGTCTCTTTCCTCTTACTTTTTTAAAAAAGAAAACATTTTAATGCATACTTCATTCAAACGGGCGGTGGGGTAGCCTATTGGTTAAAGCATTGGCTCGTCACGCCGAAGACCCGGGTTTGATTCCCCACATGTGTACCATGTGAAGCCCATTTCTTGTGTCCCTTGCCGTGATGTTGCTGGATTAATGCTAAAAGCGGCGTAAAACCATACTCACTCACTCATTCATTCAAACGTTTCAAAGCAACTTGGTTTAAATATATCTAAACATAAGTTGTGTCGTTTTCTCTCTGAAGCAGCACAGGTTGATTCTTTCAAAATGAAAATCGTTTATTGTTGCCAGTTATAGGAAAGTCGGTTTTTGGAATAGTTTAATTTGATAATGGGTTGACCTGCTGGTTTCAGAGAACAGGTGATATTAGTCGTATTCCAGCAAGAGTTACCTCCCGTGGTTAGACGTCAATCAGGAACGTACATTGGTTTCTCCTGAACTAGGAGAGATGTACAAAGCTAAGTACAACCCGTGTATATTTACATTTTCAACTGCAGAAAGTATTATTATTCAGCATGTTTTGGGGGTGTTTTTATTGTTTGGATATGTTATATTTTAGTTAATTCCTGTTAATTCATCGCTGGATTCTCATGTTCATCATCTTGCCAAGGCATAAGAGTTAACTAGTATGTATGTAAATCACTTTTTGAAACTGGACTTTTCTAGTCGGTTACCTTCCTTGCCTCGGGAAGCGTGACCGAGTTGCGTTCAACACCATATTTAACAATATTCACGTTATATGATGGAGTCTCAGCTCACAGTGGGAGGAGTCCCCAAACGCGAGGCTGGTAAGATAAGTTTACTACTTTCGTGAAATCCATGAACACAGGCATGGGGATGACAAACCCAGTCTTGTTTCCGGGATCTGCTGCGCTAGCGCTGCGACAATGAGCGTTAGCGCAGCGGATCCCGGGGAACCAGGCTGATGACAAACCTAGAGACACAATCGGCGCAAATCTGGATTCAAACCCACAGTCATCGGTTTCTAGCGTGCCGAAGTGGCGCAACAGCGAACTGGCGACTCCATCCCCTACCCGCCACCTCACTTGGTTTGTGGTGGTGGTTCTTTGCGGGAAAAGGTCGCAGAATACAAACGGTATTCTACTGGTTAGTTACCAATAAAACTTACCAATAAAAAACCTCAGGTGGGTATGTTTACAAATATGCCCTTGTCTGTTGGCGATAGTCAGAACTGACCACCGGGAATCCAGACAAATTATTAAAGTGATAATTTGCATCATGAACAAAATATTACTTTATGATACCGGTCATCACTGTCATCTTTATGATCTAACGGCCGCAAACCCGCAAACATCGTTGATGCTTATGTCATCTGGTCTAGAAAGACGATATATAAAACATACATGTGTATGGATAAACTATTGCCGGTATATATGTGTAAATGTATGCTTCTGTGTGTTTTTATGTTGTTGTTTTTGTATTGTTATTTTGTTTTAGATTTATCGTTTCTCATAATTGAATGTCAGTGGCACTGTATCTGACATATCCTTACACTGTACTTAACTGTATATATATTATTTATGTATTTTATATATTGTTTAAGATGTACAGCGGTGAGACGTACATAAAATATCTGCCTGCCTGCATGTCTGTCCACTATGCGTAGATCGATGGTCAATATTACAAACGCTGGGATTGATTCGATTACTTACAGCCGAGATATATATATTTAGTGAGGATAAAAGGGATGTCAAATGAAACTCGATTAATTACACACCTATACAGTAAAACTCCAAACGTTTCCATTTCGCCTTCGCTCGTCATACAGACACGTTTTGAAACAATTCATAAGTCTGGAAACAATTGTTATCTGACAGAAATAATCTCTCTGTCATAGTACACTGGTTCCACAAGCTTAGCGCGTTAATTACTAGTAGTTTACGTAGACAGGGGCTCAGTAAAATATCGAGTGTTGACTGGTACCCGTCCAACTCCTAGGAACGCCAACTCAGTTGCAAGAGCGCAAGCGCTCTAGGGCAGGCAAATCAGTCCAGTAACGAGAGCTCCGCGAACGGGTACTCGCTGTGAGGAGCTTTCACACAAAATTTGATTGGTGGTTTTTCTCTCAGCTGAGAACCACGCGACAAAGGATCTAACTGCAATACAGTGTGTAGTTGCTATTCAGCAATCATGGCAGCAGAACACCCTTATTTCCCGAAAGACTTGAAATTACCTCACTATCGTCCAAACGACAAAGGCGTCGTTGAAATCCTGTCAGTATTCTTCGGTGTTGTCGGAGTGTTCGTTGTGTTGACATGGGTTTATTCAGGAACGACGAAAAACCCGAGATTTACAATCACACAGCGTGTAGTATTATGCTGGTTTATGATGTGCGGTCTAATCCACACTTTCCTGGAAGGATACTTCGGTGTATTCCATGACGTTCTTGCTGGCGATATGTCTTTCCTCGGTCAAGTATGTAAGTACGGTCAAAGGGAGGTAATTTGTAGAATTCGGAAAGTTGTCTCCCCTTATCATTACTTTATACGTTCTTGAAAATGGCTTTATAGTTGCGATAAGTGTCCATTTTGTGTGTATGATGGTTGTTGGAATTTTTACTTCAACAATATATTTATGTTTCAGGGAAAGAGTACAGCATGGGTGACAGTCGGTATATGAGGTAATTATATATATTGATAAACATGAATACAATGTAATCCACGGCATAAAACTAAACTCACTCACTCACTCACTCACTCACTCACAATGTAATCCACTGTTGTTAATAATTGTGTCTCATTACTTGTTCATTTCCATTATACGATATTAGATGTTGTATGAAATACCAATCATTGTACCCCCTTTGTATTGATCTTATGTTTGTGTACAATAAGTATTGGTACTGGGACCGTTGGGTAGCCGAATGGTTAAAGGGTTCACTCATCATGCCAAAGACCTGGGTTCGATTCTGCATCATTATCATAGTAAACTGGATGGACATATTTTGCAGCCAGTTTGTAAAATATCTGAAATATCCATTTAGTTTAAAATGCTAAACAAGTTCAATGTACTAGTAAGAGGTTCCATTCTGTAAACACATGTCTGGCATGAGTTTGCAGGTCAAGTTCACTCACAACTTACTACTGGAAAATTGTCCTCTTAATCTTAGAAAAAAGTTTAAGGTCAAGGTCACCAGATCTCAAAAACAGGCACCTATGAAACACAGATAAGATTTGGAAAAATGGAAAGGTGTTCTTTGAATCCATACTGAAATAAACTGAAACAACTTGTTTATTGTGCAAGTGTGAATTAGCATGGCCAAAGGCATAAATGCATCATGCCATTTAGAAAGTAGTCGAACGTGGAACCGTCTTCCTTCTCATATTAAAAATGCTTCATCCTTTGAAGCATTCAAATCGGGACTCAGAACCATCCTCTTCAAAACATTCTACAACCTATAACTGCCAAATATTCTCATGTTCATTTTGACAAACTGTCATATTTTCATCATAAACATTAGAGACTCTTTTATATAAAGCGCTTTGAGCATGCTCTGAACTATGGCTCACAAGAAATATCCATTTATTATTATTATTTTAAAATGTAACATATGTTATATTTAGGAGATAAACATCATGTGTTGGCCAATTTCCGGGTGTTATTGAGTATTTGAAGCACAGGAATATGCCGGGGGTTTCAAATGAAATTCCGGTGCTTCAAATACTCAATAACACCCGGAAATTGGCCAACACATGATGTTTATCGACATTGTAAACACAAAGTAAACCAAAATAGTCCACACACGTTTTTGTATCTGCACTCATTGACATCGAGTACGGGTACAGCAGTGAAATGTCATCAGCCGGCCGTTTCGGCTGTCTCCCATGGTAGCATCTGGAACTGCTCATTTGAGACGTCATTCGGACTATACATCACAATATGATTTGAATGATGTCATCACAGCTGACGACGTAACAATACAATGGTGTAAGCGATGTTTGTACGAATTTCTGGGAATCGAATTCCATTCGATCGTGTTTTTGTAACCAATCAGATTAAAGAACACAGTGAATTTTGGTTAACAATTGGGATTACACTTTCTTAGTAACTTGTCAGAGGGGTACACAGAGTGTTGTGATCTTGTCTACCAGTTGTCCAACTTCTTTTTTTGTGTGTTAGATCACTGATTTTGTGCCCTGGCGACTAGAAAGGATGGTCTCACTTTGATACCTGTAGTTTTTAAAGCAGCATTACATGTTTTCATTGTTGTGTTACAATTATTTCCAGTTCTGATGCATTCGTGGTAAGCATGGAAAGAATCACTGCCTTTGTTGACGGACCTCTGAGTTTCTTGACGTTGCTGCTCTACTTCCGGAACAGCCCCTACCGCTACGTCATCCAGCTCATAGTCTCCCTCTGCCAGCTGTACGGCGACACTCTCTACTTCATGACGGAAATATTCGAAGACTTCTCCCACGGCTACATGTACCACCCGCAGTATTTCTGGTTCTATTTTGTGACAATGAATATGTTCTGGATTGTCATACCCTCGTGTCTAATTATCCAGTCCTGCTACAAACTTGCCAAGTCCCAAGCTCAGGTTGATAAACTGAAAGCCAGTGAATACAAGGCTGCAATGGCAAGACATGACAAGAAGAAGAAGCGTTAATGTTAATGAATATAGGTTGTTTGTATGTATGCAGGGGTTTAACTCAGGCATCTCAGGGTTACTGGACTTGGACAAGGCAGCGTTTTCTCTATCGTAAAGCTTATCTATATATGTGTATGTGTCCAAAAAGTAACAATTATATTCGCGCAGCATGGGGCTGGATTGAGGCCATTTTGTTGAGAACTAGTCCCCCTTGCAAAAATTATTGTGACTTTGAGAACCATTTCCAACTTAAAGATTGACCCATTCAACATATGTGGTAACTAATGTCCACCTAATATGCACATACATAGATACTGGGTCATTAATATTTTCGTTTATGAATGGAAAGTTGTCACTGTCATGAGAACTTGTTTCTGTGTGATCATGTAATTTTACTTCTCTAACTTAATGTTTGTCCAATCCCAGGGGAAGCATTCTTGTTGATTAGTATTAAGCATAAATGTTAATACATGATTTTTTAAACCTTAAACAATCAAAGGATGAAGCATTCAGAGCTCCAGATAAGATTCAGCTCATGTGGCTACTGTACCCACTGTATTTTCTTGGAGTGGGTATTATGAATGTTGAGTGGGTAATTCATTTTCCATTACCCACTTCTTTCAAATATGTGCGTATTTCAGTCATTTTACTCACCTAAGTATTATGTCATTGAGTAAGTTTACTAAGCAGGTATGTTCTGCCTTATGTCATACCTAATCAAAACCAACTTAAATATAATGGAAACGATTTCATAAAAACTCACTCATCCTATACTGACAGTACAACACTAGTCCTATACTAACAGTACAACTTGATTGCAATCGATGTCTTTTTCATTGCGCAAGCGATTTTTATAGATATATTCTGTACGCATTTGTTTTAAACTTTTTACGTATCTAACATTTTAAATGCGTAATTGGTACGCAACAATTATTTTTCAATGCGTAATTGGAAATTTTCTATGCGTATTTTACCCGGATACGCAGCTTATCTGGGCCTCTGGAAGCATTACTTTTGTACTGTGATGAATTATTTTGTTCCATGCCAGTTCTGTGGAAGATGTACAAATGTACCAGTATCATTTGATCCTGTTTCAGGACCCATGAAGATCCGGGTTTAAACTGGTCTTCAGCAACCCATGCTTGTAAAAGGCGACTAAAGGTCGCTGACTTGGTTGACACTGTCATTGTATCCAAATAGTGTAGATGGATGCTCATGCTATTAATCACTGGATTATCTGGTCCAGTCTCGATTATTTACAGACCACAGTCATATAGCTGGAATATTGCTGAGTGCAGCTTTAAACAACAAACAAACTTCATGTTTAAGTTCGAGTTTTCTCATGGATCCAGAGTCCATTGACAGATGAAGAAAACCGTTTCTTATAAAGTTTCTTCAGCAACATATTGTGCAACAATGTTTAGATTGACTCTATCTCTAACATGTGGCTTCCAATTTCACTGATTTCTTACCTACCTGTTGAACCCCTGCTGTTTTACACATACGTTATTAGTAAATGTACATTTGATTATTAAATCATTATCGCATACACTCCCGGTCACTAAGTTGCTTTTTGTTTTGTTTATTTTGTTACTTTAAAGCCAAAGAAATATATCATAGAATGTTTTTTAATGGATTACGCAATAACGTAATTGCATATGTAACATTTTATTAAGCATTTCTGTAAGTATCTACTTAGATTTTGCAAAGACAAAAACATTTATGCTCAATTGTTACTTAGTGTGAACCTGAAAATAATTCCGGAAAACAGGGATGGAAATTGGCACTGGTCTGTAAGCCTGGATCAGTATTGTTTATGTTAAAGGTAGACCAATGCTTAGTCTCTAAATATTTATGATTTTGGCAGAAACAAACAATTCCTCTTAAATTGAAAATGAGCCCCAGTTAAAAGGGTGATTCAGAACCTGAGGAAATCTAGACTTGCTTCATTTAGGGCTTTAGCATTGCAGGAAGGGCTGGGTGGAGGGGAAAATAATGTGGTTCAGGGACTGTGAGACTTTAAAGGTATCCTCAGGGCTCGTAAAATGTTGTATTTTTTAATGGCTATTGTTATATTGTATCACTATTTTGGCTAGATGTATTTATTAATTTTAGATGATGTAAACGGTTGTCTAACCTTCAAATTGAAAACCATTCTATGTGGATCATGGTTTTAAAAGCACAAGTAAAATTCCCACCAAATTTGTATTTTTATATCTGGTTTCATGCAGTTTTGTAGAAAATGGTTTCCATTCTGAATTTAATAAAATTTTAAACTCATTTTGTAGCAAGTATACTCTGTTGTGTGCTTTTAAGATATCAAAATATTTATTGGTATTTATCATGTTTATCATGCAAAGTGTGGAACGTGTTTTAAATTAAACAAATGTTTGTTAACTGTCATAATTTATTTTTAATTTTCAGAAATAGACAATGATGAAAGTGTATATGTTAGTTTGCTGTTTGTTGTCTTGTTGTAGGTATGTATTATATGTGTTTGTTGTTTAAAGTGTATTCATCAGTATTCTAAATGACAACAATCTGTAAGTATCGAGCCTTGCTCAGATCCCCTAGTGATTGACATGAGCATTGATCTACACTGTTGGTTTATGTTGACATGGATCAACAAAGAGCCAAGGTCCGGATCCACAAAGAGTTCATAATGGTACGACCTGCCACAACTTTATAGTTTATCATAGGCTTATGAGTGAGTGAGTTGAGTTTTACACCGCACTCAGCAGTATTCCAGCTATATGCCGGCTGTCTGTAAATGATCGAGTCTGGACCAGACAATCCAGTGATCAACAACATGAGCATCGATGACCGATGAACATGTGTCAACCAGCCTGACCACCCGATCCCGTTAGTCGCCTCTTACGACAAGCATGGGTTACTGAAGATCAATATTCTAACCTGGACCTTCATGTGTACAAAGGCTTATGAATGTCGTAGTGCCACGAATGCTTTGTGGATTGGGGCCATGGTCACTTGATCCTGTTATATGCCTCCTATAACAGACCCGCGAAGATTCGGTTTAGAATTGTTCTTCGGCAACCCATGCTTGTCGTAGAAGGCGACTAATGAATTCGGTGGTCAGGCCCGCTGATTGGTTGACACATGTCATCATATCCCAATTACATAGATCGATGTTCATGTTGTTGTCACTGGATTGTCTGGTCCTGACTCGATTATTTACAGACCGCCGCCATATAGCTGCAATATTGCTGAGTGTGGCATTAAACAACAAACCAACCAAACAGACCTCCTATGACAAGCTTGGGTTGCTGAAGATCAATTCTATCCCAGATCTTCACAGGAGTATTATATGACAATTATCAGCTGTTTTCTGTAGAATGTCATCCAAAACAAAATACAAACTCATGACTTGAAAAATAAGGTAAATAATTTATTGAATATTTTGCATAAATAACATGTACATATTTGTGTACAACGCAAATGAGCTTGCACACTTTAGCCCATCCTTGAGGTTTGGGGATATTTTCATCTCCATGTTCCGTGAACCAGAACATCAGAACACAACAAGGCATCTGGTTGAGAATGGCAACTCAAGGACGATGTCTCATTGTTTTTGGATCGATTGGGAGATAAAATGGATGCCAGCGGAGTTTTAGCTTTGCATTGTTGTGTCGGATGGTTCTCATGTACAACAGAAACTGATGAAGAGAAACAAGGATGACTTGAGCCTGGAGAGACACCATATCTACGGGGATAATGAGGAAACAATCACAGGTTAATTACAGGTGGAAACAGAATAGATTGGCATTAATGTCTAGATGCAATACTAGATTAGGGACTGGCTAGCTATTCTCAAAACGTTCGTAGCCCTACGAACTTCTTAAGCCCCTTCTTAACACATTGGCTACGATCAAAGGTAAGAATTCTTAGGGCTACGAAAGTTTCGAGAATAAGGGCCCTGGTCGTTTATTTTAGAAGATGGGGATTGTGAGATTGATCTTAGGACTTTATCATATACTCAAGTTCAAGGACCACCCAAATTATCAATATTTTAGTGTCCAATAGTCCATGTTATGATCCACATAATACTTAATATTGAATATTGGGGTGGTCCTTAACTTTATTTGTTGAGTATACTTTCCTGACCTACTTTTCCATCTCAAACATATGTCCATAGTTCTCAAATATGTGTAACATGTTTGCAACATGCCCCCCATCCCCAACCTTCCAACTCCCGAAACAATGTTATATACAGTCTAATGGCCCTCTCCGTTTTTCCTCCATCCCTCTGTCCATCAACACACCCCTCACCCCCTTCACAAAGATACTTCCTTGACCCCCAATCGCTCTCTCTCCACCCCTCTAATAAGTGACCACCTCCTCCATCTCCCATGAACTGGCAAACAAGGATAAGTTGGACCGGCACAGAGAACACGTTTACGAGAAGTAGGCGGTCCACAGCAATGAGCAAACCAATTTGGTTTGTGAAATGTAGAGCAGATGTAGACAAGTGCACGTGCATTGCATGACAATGAAATTGATTCCGCGCGTAGCTGCACACGCTTTGCTCATGGACTCTCACATGTTCGGTGTAGCAAGTCGCACTACACTTGATCGTGGACAACCTTGGGCCCCTTCGCTCACAATGGCAAGGGCCAGTTGGCGGCACTCATACATGCTAATACGGGTCAATTGTCAGGTCGGTGGTCAACTTATCCTTGTTTGCCAGTAGTTGGGATACTTTCTGTGAACACTCGCCCATTTCACTTTGATACTTCCTTGACCCCAAATCTCAGTTATCCATTCCCTATAACTGACCAGTCCCTTCAGCTGCCCTAATGAAACACCTCATTTAGAATTCGCCATCTAGTCCATTGTAGAAACCAATTTCTTCACTGACAATATTAACTTGAATTTTTTTCAGTTAATTTTCCAGGTAACACTGCAGAGCATCTACTAGCTAGTTTACTGTTTTATGTAAAACTAAATCTTTAATTAGTTCATGTTTCCCCAGTTAAATAAGTCTGTCATGAAGCTGTAACAAGTAGCCAGAGAAAAACAAACAAAAACAATATATCTACAAGGATATACATGAACAAGATAGATCATTTACAAGTATACAATAATATACAAGATGTAAGGTCGACTGTACAACAATGAGATGTCTAGGTTCAAGGCTTTCCATGGAGTTTAAGGCATTTGATAATCTGGCCGCTTGATGATGTATATAGCAAGTCGTAATTCAACCTTCACGATCGCTTCAGAAGGAGGTGGGTGATGGTCGGGTGAGTTCAGTTTTATGCCGCTTTTAGCAATATTCCTGCAATATCATTGCAAGGGACACCAGAAATGGGCTTCACACATTGTACCCAGGTGGGGAAACAAAGCGTAACAAGAGAATGCTTTAAAGCACTAAGCTACTTCATCACCCTTGACTCAGACTCCAGAAATGGTCTTGACATGTAGGGCCTTGACACGTGGTGGTGGTGGAATTGGGTTTAACGTCATGCTTGAGAATATTTCGCTCATATG